GATAAATGTCATAGTAAGACTTAAGGTACTTATTTAATCTTAAACTAGCCATTTATACATTGTGAAAGAAATTATAACTGACAAGAAATAACAACCTGCTACACATGGACATCTGAATAATTCTTTAAAAGAAACTCTCAGGGAAGTTAACCACTTACTGTTGCAAAAGTCTTTCATCTTCTTCTGGACCCTTCCAGTGATTTTGTATGTTGTAGCAAATTTACTGCAAAGTAAACCACAATATTGTTTTTTAATCATTTCATATCATCTATTCTTGTCTTCCTTCATAGCAATCCAGTGGTGCCCATTTATTTATGTACAATATGTCAAATGACTTTTAATACTTGGTTGAAGTTATGTTGTCTTGATGTTTATTGTGATGGATTCTATCTATCCTCTGTGGTTAAGGCCTGGTTAGGTTTTGGCAGCTAAAACTACAGCGGTTACACTTTGTACATACTATTATCTGCCCCAGTGTGCTCTGTAAAAGGTTTTACGATGAATTGTAGGTTAAGTTTTTTTTAAGCATTTTTTCTGGCAATCAAGGCTCATATTTTCACATTGTACAGAATTAAATGGAATGGAAACCAATGGCTTCCTAAAGCAGGAGCATAGACAAAAATCTAAAAACTCACTCTATAGCATACATTTGAAAATGTCTGGCTAAATCTATCATATTGTCCTTTTCAAAGACGCAGACACACAAAAACTCCATCGGATTCAGCCTCCGTTTGCTCTGTCCAGCGCAAATATGCAGCTACTTTTGAAACTATCAGCTTGAAGTTTAAATTGTGGTTTTGAAGTTTTGTGCACTAGTGCAGTTTAGAGCAGTCACTTTTTTAAAAAGTCAAGTTCGAACAAATCCAGCTAATGCAAAATTCATTTGAACACAACCCACAAGCATTACATCTGTTGAGCTTATAGGCTGTACATTTTGAATTCATACAGGTCATTATAGTTTGAATATTTAATTTTTTTCACCCGTGCAAACAAAATTTGACAGCCCTAATCCAGGTTTAGAGTCAATCCTCATTGTTGAAACCCTCCGTTAGGCTCTCTGCTGATCCTCTGCTATTTGTTCTTAACTTTCCCCATCTATTCATTCATTCATCCATTTTACAGCCTGCCCTCTCGATTGTATTTCATTCCCGTCTCCCTTTGTTTGCTTCTCTGTAATTTATAATCTCCAAGTAGACTTTTGCCATCTGGTAGGGAGTGAGGTCAACAGCTGTACCAGGAACAGTTTGTTTCACTGGAAGTGCACTGCAATTATCAACGGCTAGTGGTTTCAGGTCAGCAGTGTACACAGCTTGTGGTGCGTTCAGGAACTTTTATTCACCGAGAAAAGAAAGGCGGTTACTTTATGAGCTTCTCTGATGATGAAACGCACAGGAATGCACCGTCCCATAATGGATGACTGCTGACAGTATCTTATACTCTGATGTGCCGCCAGTTGGCCCACCGTGTGATTCCCCTCACCTCTCCCTCCTGTTACGTCCATCAAAGTTTACATCAGACTGTTCTCCAAAGCGGTTGTGTGCATCTTTATCACAACCATGTTTATAGCCTGGACCAGGATTAAAGGCCGCAGTGGGAGGAATCATGCTCTGTGTGTGTGTGTGTGTGTGTGTGTGTGTGTGTATTAACACAGTCATGGTGAACAAAGTGTGACGTTGGGCGAGCTGTGCATCTGTGTGCCTTATTGTTCAACGTCCAGACTAAATGGCAGGATGTAATAAAGGGAAAGACCAGAGAAAAACAAATACCAGGTTCTTTGGTTATTTATAGTAGTTTGTGAGGAAAAATGAATCAACGTTGACTGTGAAGCACTTTGTAATGTTTTATAGCAGGATATATTGTCTCATACCAAGTGTCAATATGAAAGCAACTATTTCTACAAAACTATATTTTTTAAATTTGACACTACCTCTCAAATGCCTCAGTGTTCAGCACAAAGCAGCCATTAACAAACTACAGTATAAAACTACAAAAATTGTTGATCTCTAAGGTTTTATTTTTGCCCGTCGAAAGCCTTGAAAAACAACAAGGGTGTTGAACTATGTTTTGGGATTTGTTTTTGTCAAGCTACAAAATTATAATGTAGAGCTTTTACTCTGCAGATTTTGGAACAGTTTTGAATAGTCAATGCAAGGAATGGAAAGAGTGGAGGTTAGAGGCTGCAATGGCTAACTAATGATTAACCAAAGCCTTCAGATCTGTTATAAGCCATAAATAAGAACAACGTTGCCAGGTTGCTTTTATCTCTCTCCTTCTAAGTAACCCACCAGGAAGTCAATGGACCATTTTATGACAGCTTACCTGCTGTTACAAATGTTAGTAAGTCATTAGTAAAGGCTAATGGGTCTAACTTTCATGTAAATCAGCAACCTTGTAGTTGCAAATCTTATGTTATTAATGTGAAAGCAAGTCATCTGCAGTTGATAAGTTGGATGGATTTTGGTCCAGATGCTCTGTAGCTTCTTTCCCCCAGAAGGTTAGTGGTCAAAAAGGCCATTGGAAGAGTTTTTCTGATGAATTAAAGAATGAGGCTAGTGTTGTTTTATGTTTTTCATATTGCCATGGAAAGACCAAAACCAACAATGTGTTAGTCCGTCTCTCAATACTTTCTGACTTCCCCACCCTGTCTGTGGCTCACGGCCTCGAGCACATTGGTTCCCACTGAAGACTTAAATCTTTAAAAACAGATTATGAATAAATAGTTTAAGATTTAAAAAAGGCTGAGTAATTTCCCAATGAGCTGACGACTGTAGCTTTTAATAAATGTTACTCGAACAGGAGGAAATGCATTTGCATTTGTTAGGCACTAGTTTTAGTGGTGGATGAATATGGTTTATTTTGACTCAATCCCACATACACCATGCTGCTGCCTTAAATACTCACTAAAGCACCAAATGTGTGCTCATGGTAATGAAGGAACATGTCACTCAGTGCAGCAGTGTGGCTCACTGATGGTTTGTTTTAATAGTTTTTGGACAACAATGGAGCTCTATGGCTTCGGAGGAAGAAGCTGCATCAGGCTAAGATAGACACACAGTACTTGTTGTATACATTCAGTCGTGAGTTTGCCTTTTTTATTGGGATTTGTTGACAATAAGACAAATATAGAATAGAACAGTAGACTTATAATTTAATTAACCGGGCAGTTATTGTGCTGTGCAACAGGAATGTATTGTGTTTGTGGGAATTGTTGTGTTTTAAAAGCTTTTTTTTTTAAAGCGCAGGTCATCTGTGGGTAACAACTCAGACAGATTCAGTTACGTGTGCTTCTGCTGCTTGCAGCTCTGAACAGGCCTCTCAGTAAAGCATGGACACATTTCCATCTGAGGAAAATTGACTTCTCTCTTAATCTTATGCCAAACGTGCTCCCTGTCATCTCCACACGCAGGAGGCTCAGATAGGAACCAGATTTCTCCTCTCTGCTGTCTGATTCAGAATTCTGTACAACCTGTCGAGGACAGCTTGCCTTGGCCCGATAAAGACCAGCAACAGGCTTGGATTGTTCTTTCTTCTGTGTCTCCTGTTGCCTACCTGTTATCTACTTACCTGCAGAGGAGTTCATCCTAGTGGGAAGTTTTGATATCAAGTGGGAAAAACTTTATCCCTGCTTTCATTTGCCTGAAGTTTCTCTGTGGTGGAAAATAGCACCCAGGCTTACAAGAGTGACATTCAGTTCAATTGTGTGTGTGCTATAGTAGGCCTGTGTTTGGTGTGTGAATGCCAGAGCATCTATGAGTGTATGTTTGTGTGTTTGCACAAGACATCTGCTATGTCAATAAGCCAAAGTTTTCTTTGTGGGTGTGTAGACTGCTACAAGTGTCACAGTAGAGTCCAGAGCTTGCATCACACTCTGTGGTCAGTCGCCTCTGTTAACCCTTCTGGTACAATGTGAGATTTCAGTAACTTTTTAACCTTTTAAATATTATCTCTGTAAGATGAAAAAAAGGGTTGTTACCAAAATGAAAAAAGACTAATTTCTGAGAAGAGCTGGAAATGCCAGAGCTAATCAATCAGACAAATATCCCTTGCAAATGCCTTGATCAACCTATAATTTGTTGTTTACATACTTATTAATATAAACTTGCAGTTCCTTGTTATCTGACTTGCCAGATTGGCTACTTGTGCTTCTCTTTTTGATTGGGAAGGTAAAAATTGTGTTGGGGCGATAATTTGGGCTACTTTTTGTACTATTTGGGGGGTTTACACCAACAATAATGCTATATTTCAATAAATCAGCCCCGCCTCTCCTCGAGTACTGTGATTGAGACAGAGTTCAGTAGTCTACATGCAATGACTGGTAACTGATGACTGATAAGACTATTTATTTTTAGGGATACTTTTATGACGACTGGGTGAGTTCCAGTCTGATTGGGCTGCTTTTTGTTAGTCCAATCCAGCAACACTGTTTTTCTAATATTCTAGTTTATGACCAAATACCTGCTAAACTAACAGCCTCAGCTGTACTTTGTACTTGGTGCTAATTAGCAAATGTTAGCATGATATGTAAGATGATGCATTGCAATTGTGACCATGTTAACATGATGTTGTTAGCATTTAGCACAGAGCGCCGCTATGCCTCACACAGCTGGACTCTTCAATCAGTCTGAGGATTACCAAAATACCTTTAAAACTGTAGTAAATGTTACAAACAACAAATTCTGTTGTTTTAGCACTTAAAGTTATACTTAAACTTATTCCATCAAAAGTTTAAGGGACATAAATGAAAAGTTACAAGACGTGACTGCCTGACTGCTGCTGCTGCTGAAAACCTCTGCAGACTTTTGGAGCATCCTGCCACCGACAGCTGAAATGTTTTTGTGTCTGTTTTTGGCCTCTCACACACAGTACATTTGTTTGCAGCAGATTTTTGTATGTCTGTGGCAGGGAAACGAACAACGTGCCAAACTGTGATTTATGGTTGTGCATATTTTAGTTCATGCAACACTATCCTTCCTTCCTTCCTTCCTCCCTCTCTCCTCCAGTCGACATACGAGAGATCCGGGAGCTGCGGTTGGGAAAGGGCTCCCGTGATTTTGAGCGCTACCCGGAGGAGGCCCGTAAACTGGACTCCGCCCACTGCTTCATCGTGCTCTACGGGCTGGAGTTTCGCCTCAGGACTCTCAGCGTGGCTGGTCAGTGTATATGTAGTGTTTGTGTGTACTGGTGATTCCTAGTGTATTTTCACAGTAACTGTTATTGTGGCTACCACAGTATCAGAGGTTAAAGGTCACACTACATCACTATTTAATTTTACCAACATTTTATCTGTAAAATCTAATGTTGAATCTGTTGATCTTTTGTCGCTTGTCATTATGCGTCTCTCAGTCTGTCTCTTTTTCAGAACATATTCCCTAAGTAAGAGTTATGAGTTGCTTTAATCACTCTCACAAAATACTTTAAAAAACGAAAGAAAGAATTTAAAGAACAAATTTGTTTATTACACCTTGCTGTGGGTCAAGTTAAATCAGTTATTACCCAGTTTGTTGTAAAGATCCATCAGCGTTTACAGGCCAACTTTGTGGTTCAAATTTGACCTGCTGTACTTGCCGTAGTGTGGGCATAGGTTTACTCTATTATGAAGTATTATTCAGGTGATCTCTGTGTTGGTTTTACCTCCCAATAAAGTGGGATTAGATAATCTTATTTCCAACCTGTCTGATCGCCTGGCTGCTTCTTTTTCTCTGCCCTTTCTGATTTTGTTGTAGTGATCTCATGTATTACTTTGGTGAGTTAAGTGTTATCATAACTCATAAGCTCCCTAAACCTGCAATCTTAAATTTGAAGAATGATTTAGGAGTCGCCAAAGTCAGATTTTTCTTCCTTATATTGCCTTTCTTTTTTGTTTCTGCAGCCTTCAGTGAGGAGGAGGTCAACATGTGGATCACCGGTCTCAACTGGCTGATGATTGACACTCAGAGAGCGCCTGCACCACAGCAGATAGACAGGTGTGTGTGTGCGTGCATGAATGTCACATGCATTCATGCACTTTATTATTGCTTGCTACTGGCAATCTTATCAAATGATTATGAATTACTCACCACATGTAGGCATGAAAGTGGGCTCTGAATAGTTTGTAGCTTGCTGAAACTATTTGAGTGGATGATTAACAGAAAATTAATTTTCGATAATCAACAAAGTAATTTCTTGATGCAAAAATCACAATTTCAACATGAATATTTGTCTGCTATAATTGTAAATTGTGTATATTTTAGTTTTTGGACTGTTGGTCGGATAAAACAAAGATTTTGAAAACTTGTCCTCATCTGAATGTATTCTACATCCTCTTATAGAGACATTGTCTTTTTACCAGTCATCACTGAAAACACTTGACATACCCCTTTCAGTTTATATTGTCAAAGTTAGAAAGGTGTTGATTAGTTTAATGGGATAATTCATTAACATGCTTATAAGGCACTTAACACTGTGTGTGATAAAGTGATATCTGGTTGCACCAAAAGAAGAAGCAACCTGGACGGGAAAGGGAGGTGCTGGTTGGAGGAAAGGACAAATATTTGTTTTGGGATGAAAATATTTACTCTACATGAATGTGCGGAGGCAGTTTTGGCTTCTGTGGTGTGAAGAGGAGAACAGAGAGAGGTTGTGAGAATGTGTAGGAGAGTTTTGTTGTTGACATAATGTGAGCGGTATAGCCTATGTTTGGAAATGGTCAGAGGAAATTAAATTACTAATTTTGTCTGTTTATGACAGTTGTGTAAACTCTGTGGGAAAAGGATTCATCAGCTGAAAGTATTTTTTATTTTTTTTTCTCTCTTCACTATGCTTGACAAATACAGACAGTCCCCAGTTTATACTCAGTGATCTACAACCGGTTTCTCACAGTCCAACTGAAATTTAAGCTTTCCTCACCTTTTGTCTGAAGAAATATACACTATAATGGTACTACAGCTATTGTGCATATGCTTTTACCATTTTACAAAGTAGGATAAAAATGTTTGTGGACTCTGTAAGCTTCAAGCCTCTGGGTAGGTGTTTACCTTAGCATGTGTTGTTGCACTGATCGGATTGCAAGCAGTTTTGTTGTACAATGACAATAAAGATTCTGTTCTAATTAACTGCCTTCCTGTCAACAAGGCGTTGTTTTTTTTCCTTATTCCCATTTAGCTATATCACCTAATAGTTCTTTAAGCTGCCTGTTCCTTTAGAACATTTGGGAGGACCCATCAGGAGGAAAGTGAAAGCTAGTTAGCCTAGCTTGCAATCGTTTTAGCCTTTACTTCAGTTAACTATCTGCGTCACTATGTAACGTGTGTCACGATGCTCGCCTAGCGGCTAGTGTGGCACTAACGCAAGCAACATCACTCAAAATCTTATCCACTTTTTAAAAAACGCATGATAACATTGCTTGGAACCTCTGGTGTGTGCTACTGTGGATGTTTGCTACACAATGTTGTAATTAAACCATGCAAATCTATTCAGATGCAACCCGGAAATAAAATGATGAACATAAAAATGAGCATAATGACCAATTTAATGTTTTCTTTTCTCCATCCCTCCCGCCCTCTGTAGGTGGTTGAGGAAACAGTTTGAAGTCATGGACAGGAACCATGAAGGAAGGTGGGTGATTCGCCACAAACACCCAATCATAGCTTTTACAGCAGCCTGTGATGGATGCTTTTGGCCAGTCTGTCACAGCAGGTGGAACATGGAGGTGAAACCAGATCCAGATGTCATCAAAGAGCATGTTCTCCCTCTGTCAGGGATATGCTCTGACCTTAACCTCCACAGCCCGATAACGCACATCCACACCCTTAACCTCCACATATCACACACACCGTTTCTGTCTTTTTCTCTCTTGTGCCCACATTAATCCAGTCCAAGCTTCTGTTTGGGTGGAAGCCACTCCAGGACAAGCCTGCCACTGCCTGATAAGCAGCAGGAAGTGATGCGTTGGGCTGGGATAGGGCAACTTCCCGTCTCCAGTGAAAATAGTAACAGTAACCGTAGCTAGACAGAGGGAAGTGGGTGGAGAGATGAACCAGACCTGGCAGCGACAGCGGTCATTGACCCCAAAAAGATCCTCTCTGCTTCAGAGAAATGACCTGGATTTCTTTCTTGTTCTACCTGCTTTTTTGCTTCCTTCCTCATCGTGTTTATGATGGTTACATGTGTTTTAACAATCAGTAAAAGTGATTATCCATGTGCAGTTTGTGCTAGGAAAAAAAAGATGTTGAGGTAAAGACTTCAGCAACTCCACAGAAGCAACTGCAACAGTGTGTGTGTGCAAAAATGTTCTGCATACAGTCCATTTAAGAAGCTCTGTGTTGACTTAAGGGAACAAACATAAAGGTCCATTATTCACCTTGGAAAGATGAACTTTTAAGCCAACATGGAACAATGTTTTCAGTAGGAACCAATGATTATTTGACAAGAACTAAAGGATAGAATAGTGCCAGGCTTATCCTTTTAAGCGAGTAGAGTAATAAAAGTATACATCTGTACCCAGCCTTACCTCTATGTCCAGGACAAGACGCATCCCCTTCTAGCAATCGCCTCAGAGTCTAAACAATGAAAATGTTACTGTAGACCTCACTTTGGGCCTGGAATGGTTTGACAATTGCGCTTCAAACCATACAGCTCCATCTCCTGGTGAAAACATATACAATAACACTAGGTCTTTTATGAGAAGCTCTCTAAAGGTGCAATTCAACTAGTGTTTGAAGTAGACTGCAAAATCTTAAAAACAGTGTCATGTTCAGATAGAAATTCTTTTCTGTTTCTTTATCAGCATCACGGTGAAGGATGTGAAAGCTCTGCTGCCTCAGGTCAACTACAGAGTCCCCAACATGCGCTTTCTCAAAGACAAGCTACAGGTCAGAGCAGAATAAGTCTGATAGCTCTGGATAATTTTTATTTTTGTTCATCCTCCCACACCTACTATACCTCTTTCAATGTCCTTTTGTGTCACACTAACTGACATCCTTCCCAATTTACACAGGAGGTGGAGGCCAGGAGCGATCTGTCGTACCCCAACTTTGCACAGCTCTACAGAACATTGATGTTTGACGCACAGAAGAGTGTGAGTGTCACTTTTGGGTTTGCACTCATACACACTCACACAGTCCTGGAAGAAGTAATTAATGCCTTTACTTAAATAAAAGTAGTCGCATCACAATGGAAAAATAATCCACTACAAATTATGCTTTCAGGATCACAGTAACAAGCACTCATTTTGAAGATGTCCCAGTCTGTGTTAAAGGACCATAATCTGGTGTTACTTGTTTGAGTTCCTTAATTACAAATCAAGTACACTTTACATTTTGATTACCATTTTCAAAAGCATGCTTTGTAATTTTTTATTCACATGGCGGACAGAAACTTGTGAGTGTTGTCTGATCACAGTGAACATCAAGGCTGCGTTAATTTCTTTGCAGAGTAAGCAGAGCAGACTTGACTTTCAATCTGCAATAAAACTGCATTACCAAGCATAAGAATGTAACTTTGACAAACAGTAATGTGGACTTGATGTTCACTGCTGGATTTACTCAAGCGACCTACAGTCTACTAATATTATCATATTGTAAAGACATTAATGTAAAGAAATCTAAAAGAAAAATGTTATGCTTAAAAAGTGTTTGGCTGTGATCTTTTAAAGTAATGTTACACATGATTTGTAGTAAAAACTGTAAAACCACTAGGGATGCACCGAATGTTCCGCCACCAAAATAAATCTGCTAATAAGTCAAAAGACCAAAGAAATTTTACCGAACAATTACATTGACATGTCTGCAGAGTGGAAGTGTCTGAGAAAGACGCAAAAATCGCCGTCTGCAGACACTGTTCTGCTGAATCGTCTCCTAGCACATCCGCTCGATCTGTGGCAACAAACGGTCTGACCCGCTTTGAGTGTTTCTGTCACTCGTTTCTGAGAAGGTGATTAAGCTAGTTGCAACTAAATTTGGGGTGCACATGTATTCAAGCTTTTATGGTAAATCCACTGAAACGGACCAGTGCGAGCTGACAGGCAGGTTAGTGACTTTATCCTGTCAGTTTCTCTCTTTACAAAGACAAGTCTTGAGTCCTACCTGAAGTCTTTATGTTGCGCGATACGAGAACCACATACAACATTATTTATCAAATTGCGTGGGTCTTGAAGAATTTAGCGTGAGGATAGACACATGGGACAATGTCCGGTTTTCAAAACAAGGTGTCTATACAGGATGGAAATAAGATTGATTTGATTATATTCACAGAAAGTATAAAACATATTTGTGTCCATTAAAAGTAAATGGACATGTGTAATTCGCTTTATTGGATCCTCTCGAGCCTCGGACACACCTACTAGGGGTGGGAATCACCAGAGGCCCCACGATACGATATTATCACGATACGATATTATCGCGATACGATATTATTGCGATTTTAAACATATTGCAATTTTTTATCTTTTTCCCAACTTCAAATTGTGTCCCCAACGGAAAATTCTTTTTCTAGTGGACTGAAAAAGCAATTTTATTAGTGCCAAAAAACAAACTTCTCATGTACAATTTATATAATAAAAGATCGATACTTGACGTTCGTGTTACGATACGATATTGCCTTGCAAAATATCTCGATACTATGCTGTTACTGCATCATCTACAGACCTGTTGGCTCTGTAGGTGAACTGCAGGGGGTCCAGGAGAGGGTTTGTGATGGATTTGATTTATGCAATGGTAAAAAAAAAAGTCAAAATAAATGGAAAAAATGTGAATGTACTTGTGTTCTGCAAATTTTTTCATTATATTCGGTTTTGGCTTCAGCCAAGAATTTTAATTTGGTCCTAAAATTAAATGAAAAGGTCTCATATTAAATGATAATGAAATATAACCCCCAAATTGGAGATACAGGTTGTTGTTTTTTTAGCCAGCTCAGTTTAAGATTACATGCCCCTCCAAATTCTTTCTAAAACTACATAGAGGGTTGGGCAATAAAACAAAAATTATAAACACTGAGATATAATTTTCCTCAATAACAACAAATGTTCAATAAATGTTTGCTTTAATTCATTGAAATCATGGACAAATTAGCAGTTAATTTTATTTTGTTGAGGATAAAAGAAGAAATTTTACTCGTCACTACTGTATTTGAGCTCTTGTGCACTCGTACCACACCACGCTCACTTTGTCCTTTACTGTTTATGCTTAACCTGGCTCCCTCCCCACCTGTCTGTCACCTGGCCCCTCCTGTTTTGTTCCCAGATTATTGAGCAGCTGGAACTCTCCTTCCCTCTGCGGTGAGTCCCTCCACCTCCACCTCTTGTCCTCACATCTCCCCACTCTTTTCCTTCTACCGGTCCAGTTTCTCTTACACTGTACAAAATTATAAACGCAACACTTTTTTGTTTTTGCCCCCATTCATCAGGAACTGAACTCAAAGATCTAAGACTTTCTCTGTGTACACCAAAGGCCTATTTCTCTCAAATATTGTTCCCAATGTTTTCACATTTGCAAATGGGATTTTATTGTGGCCAGCCTAAGGCCTTTTATTGTGGCCAGCCTAAGGCCTTTTATTGTGGCCATGGCCAGCCTAAGGCACACCTGTGCAATCCCCATGCGGTCTGATCAGCATCTTGATATGCCACACCTGTGAGGTGGATGGATTATCTCGGCAAAGGAGAAGTGCTCACTTACACAGATGTTGACAGATTTGTGAACAGTATTTGAGAGAAATAGGCCTTTGGTGTACACAGAGAAAGTCTTAGATCTTTGAGTTCAGCTCATAATGGGGACAAAAATAAGTGTTGCGTTTATCATTTTGTTCAGTGTAAAAACACACTTTTTTTGGCTGTCAGGAAAGCAAAACATTTCCATGTGTTTTAGCCATTTTAATGGTACTTAAATGTTTCTTTTCTCTAGGGATGGGAAATATTTAGCTTAACGTTTTGGGACATTCATTAACCTTTAAAAATGGCACAAGGTCATTAGAATCAGCATATTGAATAATAAGGTTAGGTGCCAACGTATAACTTCTCCCCTCTCATTTACTTAACCTTTCTTTAACTTTCACTCCTCTGTCGTCTGTCATTGTGTGTTTGAAGGAATGTTGACAGACCAGAGCTTTGTCAGATCTCCCTGTACGACTTCCAGAAGTTTTTACAGATGGACCAGAAGGTACTGAGCAAATTCAAACTCCCCGTCAGCCCAACACAGAGTGCTCTCTAAAAACTGCTTTGTGCTCACTTCTTCATCTGGCTCGTCTCAGGACTCCTGGGCGTCAGATCTCAGTCGTGTCAGAGAATTCCTCATGGGGTACGTGAGGGGTGGATCGCAGCCTGAGCCGATGCTACAACTTGATGAGGTGAAACACTACACGCAAATGTGCATAAAAGCTGAAATAAACTGTGAGATTTTATTCCTACTTTTTCCAACCGTACAATCATGTTACTTTCTGTTTGTAGTTCCTGACATTCCTGTTCTCTAAAGAGAATTCAATATATGACCCTCGACTTTCACCTGTTGTTCCGGATGACATGAAAAAGCCACTGTCTCAGTATTGGATCTCCTCTTCGCACAATACGTAGGTCTCAACATGTGTGTCTCAAACATTCCTAAATGTTTTAATAATGTATTTAATTATCGTAACACCCCAATAAAGGCACATTGACCCTCATGTGAAGCTTCTCTCAGGCATCCCTATTTAGTATAAGAAGAGCTTTAGGGAAATCATTGTAGGTAGTGTCAAGTCTGTGATTTAAACAATACTGATGCCTTCCAACAACTCCAAATGTGTATCAATTACATGTTGTATATGTGTGTTTAAAAGATCTTGAAATAGAAAAGACACATTGCTGAATTAGCAGTTAGCCTAAACGTTAAGCCAATAAGAGCTAGCTGCAAGTAGCAGTATTTATGAAAGACTTCCTGCTAAGTCAATTTTATTTATTAAAACTGAAACAATTAGCAGACTAATCAAGAAGCAGATCAATGAAGAAGCAGATCAACATACCGTAAAACTTCAATTAATAGCGTCCCAAATAGCCGCCTATCTCATTTACTGGCCTGGTGTGGGAACACATTTAGACAAATAAACACCTGCCTCAATTTAACGCCTGGTCTGGTTTTCAAGTTAGTTATTCAAGTTCTTTGGATGAATAAAATCTCTTAAACCCTGCGGGGTCGCCCGCTTTAGCTAAGCTGTTTAGATCGTTAATACAAATATTAATGTTTAAACATATTATCAATATGTCCGTATGAACATGCTACACATACACAATTCAGTAGTTCAGTTCATCTAAAGGAAACAACAAGCCCCAAAGTCTAATTCTTAAAGATTTACAGGTGTAACCTGCCTGGCACAAGAGAGGAAAGGAAATAAAATGATGACTGCCTTTACCTTTTGAAGTGCTCGTTAAGTGTGCTAGTTAAGCCCGAATGTGTTCGTTCCTTGATTATTTATATTCCTTTAGTCTGTAAGGGTCCACCCATCAAAAGAATTAAAACAGCTTTTCGTCCTGTCATGTGAAGTCCATCATTCTCTGTCTGCTAACTTCTGTCATCCTGCACCGTGTTGTTGTCGTGATGTTACTTCAAAATAAAAGCGCGTAAGCCGTCTGGTCGGAGCTAGATTAAATGAATGACATGTATTTGATATTATTTGATCATTTTTATTGAAGTATTATTCTGTTATCTGTTTTGAAATAAATAAACTGTTTCACAGTAGTTTCAGTTTTGTGCAAAAGGAATTAAAGGGCTGTCACTTATGGATGCCTGTCCCAAATATAGCCAGGGTCAATTCAGTGATTTTAGCAAATAAAAGCCCGGGCTTTTTTTACGGTAAACACCAATTTTGAATTGACTAATCATTTTAAACAAGTAATCAAGCAAAAATGTCTGATTCCAGCCTTGCAAATGTGAGGATTTCTCTGTTTTATAAATTGCGTTTGGGTGTTTTACAGTTCGGACAAATTAGGCGATTTATTATAAAATGTTTCAAACTTATTGAATAAAATCATTAAGAATGGAAATAACTGACCCAACTGTATTAATCAATAATGGAAACAATTATTAGTTGCAGCCCTTGAATGCACTTAAATGCATTTTCAGCTGCTCTTGTGAACTTGTTTCCATATTCTTGTTCTTTCAGCTACCTGACAGGTGACCAGTTTTCCAGTGAATCATCTCTAGAAGCCTACGCCCGCTGCCTGAGGATGTGCTGCCGTTGCATTGAACGTAAGAGTATCCAACATTTGATTGTGACTCAAAAGAAAATTAAATAGTGGTTTTAAGCAACAATTCCAGGGCCTTTGTTCTGCGAATGTTTTGCTGTTCATTCTAATGCAATATACCTTAGATGCTGGCCACATATGGAATAGCGGTGTTTTGTTTTTTGTGTTGAAATTTGTGTTTTGGTCTGGCCTTTGCAATCAGGGTATGTGCCGCTAAAAGCCTCTATTTAGAGTATAAAAGATTCAGCTGAAGTTTGCACCTGAATCTGTGTTTCCTGATCTTAGTGGACTGCTGGGATGGACCTGACGACCTGCCAATCATCTACCATGGACACACTTTAACCTCCAAGATCAAATTCCTGGATGTGCTGCACACCATCAAAGAACACGCCTTCGTCACATCTGAGTAAGTGGATGAAGCGGACATTCGCTTCACAAGATCACCAACCATCATTAACCATAAAGTCAAAGTCTGTAATATGTTTTTATTAATATATCATAATTCTGTCCATTTGTTTGATGTAGTGTGGTGAAACACACAATGCATTTGCCATGTTTAATGATGATGATGATTGATAGTATTGAGAAATGTTAACTGTGTGTGTGTGAGGTCACACATGCTGTCTTAACTTTATCAAAGTAAACATTATATTAGGTAGGTAGGTACATTTATTGTCACAACAAAACAGGTTATAAAATTAAATTGAGCTTTGTGACTCCCTTCTGCCACATAGCAGAAAATATACATTAATACAGAAGAAATTATAAAAATGGTAAACAGAAATAAACAATATTCAATGATCAATAGAGCAGTGCTGAGGATGCATTAGAGTTTAAGAGTCTGATGGTGCAGCAGCAGAAACTTCTATATCTCTTCCCAGAAGGCAGTGGGGTGAACAGGCTGTGGCTGGGTGGGTACTGTCCTTTAGTATCCTTTGGGCTCTGCGTAGACACCTCACCTTGGGAGATTGGTACCAGTGATCTTCTGAGGGGTTTTAATCACCCGCTGCAGAGCCCTCCGGTCCTGGGCCGTGCACATCCCATGCCAGTTTGTGATGTTTCCAGTCAGGATGCTTTCTGTTGCTCCTCTGTCAAAGCTGACAAGAACTCTGCTCGGGAATTTGGCCTTTTTAAGCTTCCTCAAGAAATACAGTAGTTTCAGAGCTTTCTTCCCCACCGTGGAGATGTAAGACGACAACATCAGGTTCTCTATGATGCTGATTCTGAGGAACCTGAAACTGTTCACCTGCTCCACCTCAGCACCAGTGATGTAGACAGGAGTGTGCGTCTTTAAATTTCCTTAAATGCAACTATCAGCTCCTGTTTTGCTCACGTTGAGCCGTAGGTTGTTCTCTGTACACCACTCTACATAATTATCAATTTCTTCCCGATATGAAGTCTCATCGTTGTTTGAAATCCGGCCGATGATGGTGGTGTCGTCCGCAGACTTCACAAGAGAGTTCTCTCCGTGTTGGGGGATATTGATATTCATGGTACAACAACACTATCTCCTCCATCATTGTTGCTATGTTTTGGAAATGGAACAACTTGTAGATTGTAGTTGGGGGGGAGGGAATCTGATTTCCTTCCGCTTCTAGAGCAGAGTTCACCTACCTGCTGTTGTGTTTGTGCAGGTATCCGGTGATCCTGTCCATCGAGGACCACTGCAGTGTAGTCCAACAGAGGAACATGGCCATGAACTTTAAGAAGGTGTTTGGAGATCTGCTTCTCACCAAGCCAGTCGACAGCAACGCAGAGGAGCTTCCCTCACCGTACCAGCTCCGAAGAAAGATCCTTATCAAGGTACGCAGACACCTACGTTTAGCAAGTCAGAGACTGCATCTTTCAAAGTCAGCACTATAAGACTGAATGTGTCATAGAAGGCCAACAGACTCAGACTTGTCCTAAATATCACTGCCTTCTCTGCTGGAAGGTTTCATGTCTGTTGCACCTCTAACTGCAGCCATCATCACTGATTGGTGTGGTGAGAAGTGTTTGGTTTCACCTGTAGGTTTGAGAGTCAAAGGGCTAGACCATGTCATCCAGAGAGGAGGTGCAAACTAAACTTAAGTTTCAGGACCCCCAAAGGACCCATTTTGAGGGGCTACGTCCTTAAAAGGAGCTAGCCACTGGCTGTTAAAGTGACCTACCATCAACCATCACTCAACCTAATGACCCAAGTTAAAGTTGCACCGAACAATATCTCTGACTTCCAGTGTTGTTTTTTTCCCCCAATAAGATACATGTGTGCAGTAAAATGGTCCCACATTGTCTTGGTCATGTGAGGCTGTCATTGGTGTAGATCAGTGTGTCTCAAGTTTCACCACTGTGTCACAGCACAAGAAACTGGTGGAAGGTACGCTTTATGAGGAGGTGACATCAGCCAGCTACTCTGAGAACGACATCAGCAACTCTCTGAAGAACGGCATCCTTTACCTAGAAGACCCTATCGACCACGTACGTGTGTCTTAAGTGAGAGATTGTGCATAAAACATACAGTCAGTGTAGTGTGCAGCATTACTGAAGTGTGTTTTTGTGTGATTGACAGACATGGACTCCACATTATTTTGTCCTGACCAGTAATAAGATTTACTACTCAGAGGAGACGTCTCACTACCAGACAGCTGATGAAGAAGAGGAGGATGAAGGAAAAGAGGTTGGGAGATGATGTTGATGAGTTGTTTATCAGCAATTGTGAAAATGAGGGAAAAGGTATTAATCATGTAAAGACGATGGTGATTTCAGTTTTTTCCTCACTCTTTTCCTGTAATTCAGGAGTGTAACAACAACGAGCAGCACTGTGCGGAGCGCTGGTTCCACGGGAAGCTGGGTGGAGGTCGCGATGGTCGACAGGTGGCGGAGAAGCTCCTGCAGGAGTACTGCGAGGGCGGGGCCAAAGACGGCACCTTCCTGGTTCGGGAGAGTGAGACGTTTGTTGGAGACTACACCCTCTCATTCTGGTCGGTAACACCACACAGGAAGTTTCTTTAAAAGTGATCTCACCCGCCACTCTTGGGTTTTTCTTGTTTTATTCAGTGGAGAAGAGAAAAGAAAGAAATGGGAATTTGAGTATGAGTGAATGTAGAAACACAATTATTAGATGGTGGTGGGGGAACAATTATTAGATGGTGGTGGGGGAGAGTTGAGGACAATAAACAGCAGTACAGCAAACAGAGCATCACAGATCATAAAGGAAAAAAGAGATTTGAACGTTTCGGTATTTGTTCAAAATTAGTTAGAAAAATCACAACTGAACATGAAATAAAAGATAAAATGTCTGATAATTATATCACAAAACACATTTACACTTGATAGTATTATAAATATTTCAGTTTTTATTTACTGCATGGACATTCATTTAAATATTAGCCAATATTGTGTATTTAAATATAAAGAGGGATAATCTCAACAGTGAAGGAAGGTACAGAAGCATACATAGATCAATTTTCAAATCACAGGAATTTTGTATTGCAGTCTGTGTGAATTTGACAAATTATAGAAGTATTAAAAGTTTGATTTACTTCTCGTCTCCAGCCTGCTAGAGTTTTATGACACCTAAGTGGAAATCAGCATACTAACTCAGCCCGGTTCCTCCTCTTCCAGGCGCTCTGGTCGAGTCCAGCACTGCAGGATCCATTCGCGTCAGGAGTCTGGCTCCACCCGCTTCTACCTGACCGACAACCTGGTGTTTGACAGCCTCTATCGCCTCATCTGCCATTACAGAGACACGCCTCTACGCTGCAACGAGTTTGAGATGAGGCTGGGCAGCCCCGTACCTCAGCCCAACGCACACGAGAGCAGAGAGTGAGTGATCAATGCCTGCAAAGATGTCAGAGGTCCTTCCTCTTTCTTTTGTGTGAAAGAAATTACTGGCGGCAGAAAAGTAAAAATTACATTTGTGTTGTGTTGTTTTTTTTTTCCCCCAGGTGGTACCACTCCAGTCTGTCCCGTGTTCAGGCTGAACACATGCTGATGCGTGTTCCCAGAGACGGAGCTTTCTTGGTGCGAAAGCGCAGCGAACACAACTCCTACGCCATCTCCTTTAGGTAGAAGGTCAACACACACACTGACGGTCAATCACATAACAGCACTAACTCATCTGTTCTCTGCTCATAGTTTTAGTTGCATACAGACAACCAAGAAGAAAATATGTCCATCTCTCTGTAGGGCGGAGGGTAAGATCAAACACTGTCGTATCCAGCAGGAAGGCCGTCTCTTCATGTTGGGCAGTTCGGCAGAGTTTGAGAGTTTGGTCGACCTTGTGAGCTACTATGAGAAACATCCTCTGTACCGCAAGATGAGGCTCCGTTACCCGATCAACGAGGACACTCTGGACCGGATGGGCACCACGGTTAGTCGGACACAGCTCAGTTGAAAGGAACAGCTCAGCCTTATAACATGTTTTACTCCATTTAATAAGAATCACATTTTTGTACAATATGTCAACAAACTTGACTTCAAATCTGCTTTTGTCAGAGTAAAGGGCTGTTTTGTTTTTTCCCAATTAACTAACTTGTCCGTAATGTCAGAAAATAGTAAATCACAATTTTTCAAAGCCCAACAAAACTTTTATTTTCCCTTTGTTACCTCTCTGTAAAATACATACTCAACTATCAAATTTGGATTGACAATTTCAAAATAAATTGTGACTTACATTATGGTTGCTTGACAATGCAGTGCAAACTTTTATACTGTACCTTTTTAAACTGTATTATGATGCAATAATGATGTTGCGGACGATGAAATCATACATGGTTTTCACATAAATCAAGTTTCACATCATTAAAAGTAGATTTTTTTTTTTTATTACCACTGTGAAATCATTAAAATGAAAACCAGTGGCTACGTATGTAACAGTAAACCGGTATTATTACTTGCACCAAAAAAAGGTCATCCTTCATCATACATCAACATTAAATCCACACGAGAAAGAAAACAATGGGAGCAACAACAGAAGTAACCATTGTTTGTTGTTTGTCAGGAGCTTGACTATGGGGCGCTGTATGAGGTCCGCACTCCTCATTTCTACGTGGAGGCTAATAAGATGCCCACAGCACGGGTAAGTGAGCCGTTTGTACTATGGACCTCAATTTAATCAGTGTGTGATTAATGTTTATTATATTACTCGGGGCAAATTGTATAGCACAGTACAACAAGGCAATTCAAAGTGCTTTAGAAACAAACAAAAGTATGCAGCACTCCGTAAATGATTAGCAGATTAAATTACCCTTCAAGATAATACGGATACTTCCTTTACAGCCATCAGCAGTAAAATAATTACACAACCTGTAGCAGTACAACCAGTACAAAGTACTGTATGTTTGCGTTCAACTTTGTAATGTAAATGCAGAAGTATTGCTGGTGCAATGTACTAATTTAAAGGACTGATAGTAAAATTGGTAATGCTGAAGAAGAGAGTTTAGTTTCGCTAATAACTCCAGTTTGACAGATTTTTGTGCTGTCAGATTAGTTAAAAGTTAGGGGGGGAAAAAAGAAATGGAAACACTCAAAGCCACTATATGTGGGAATTTAATCTTTGACTTAGGCACACCCTCAGTGGTGGTACCTAAAAATACATTCAGACGGTGTTCCTCGCTGTGTGTTTCAGTGTACAGTCAAAGCTCTGTATGACTACCGAGCCCAGAGGGAAGACGAGCTCTGTTTCCCCAAACAGGCGCTCATCGTCAACGTGGATAAGCAGGAGGGCGGCTGGTGAGTGAATCTCAGTGCACATGTGACTTCCTACGTATCTGTTACACCACACCGTCTCCCCTTGTCATAAACCTGTGTGTTGTCTTTAGGTGGCGAGGTGACTATGGAGGAAAGAAACAGCTGTGGTTTCCAGCAAACTACGTGGAGGAGGTTCCCAGCTCTCCCACCAGAGAACTGGATGAAGCAGTGAGTTCAGATTTTCTAAATGGAGCAAAGTGTCAAATGATCAACTTGTCTTTCCAATCGTAATCTTTTTTTCTTTGTATTATTCTGTTGTCTCAGTCCACAGAGAACAGTCCTCTTGGAACATTCCTCAAGGGCTTCATTGATGTACCAACCTGCCATGTAGGTGAGTCTGATAAACGGCCCTGTTTGAGGCAAACGGGTGACTTCCTAACTGAATGCGAGCGTCCGACTATTGTGTCATCATAAGCTCGGTCTACACAGAATCTGTTAAATATGCACTTTTGTTAAGTTATGTAAAAAAACAAAAACGCACCCATCATGATCAAACCAATCAAGTCAAAGGTGGGTGAATACTTGCCATCTTTCTACGATTGTAGAAAACAGATGTTTCTAGCCAACATCAAGTCGTCGTTTCTACCCCTACATTGATAGATTTAAACGTGATGAATTAACCGTTTCTCATCCATGCACCGCTTTCAATGCGAGCGACAGGAATAAAAAGAAACGGGGCCGCATCACTCGCAGCCAGTTAGGACATTCCAATAGAAAACAATGTCATTTAACTGATTATGTCGCTGTTGCGTGCTCGCATCACATTCAGTTAGAACACAGTGTGCTAACTTTTATTGAATTACATCAGGTATAATCAAAGGTTTAGTGAGAGACTGATCAGATTCTATAAGACCAATTTTCATGTTGTTGACTAGTCAATGAAAGATCACTTGACCAGTTTCAATTATGCAATTTAACCCTGACAATCAATCCAACAATCTCCCGATTTCAAGAAAACGATTACTAATCTTAATTTTCTGCATTTGTTTATATACACTATTTATTTTGTTTTATTGTTTTTATACTTGTTAAAAAATGCTCTACAAATAAAGATGCTTATTTCCACATTAAATTGTCAAACTGGATAAATACCCTTCACATTTAGTCACTGCAATCTTCCAAAAAATTTATCCATAGGGATTTTTAATAAACTGGTAAAAACTGTTCTAAGAAAACACTCATTCCTATTAAAGTTTCCTGTTTTTTTTTTTTAGTAGTTCTATTATAGCAGATCAGTGTTTTGTTGTTATCCCTCAAAGCAAACTGCCTTCTCACACAAAACTCTCTGTGGCATTTCCCCTCTTCCTCCCATCATCTGTCACTCCATATATCTGTCCAGTGGTGCACAAGGATGGGAAGAATTCGCGGCCCTTTGTATGCACAATCCATTCCCAGCAGCTTTCATCTCACCCAGTTCAGACCCTGGATGTGGCAGCTGACAGTCTGGAAGACTTAAACAGCTGGGTCAGCAAGATCAGAGAGGCTACACAGAATGCTGATGCACGGGTCAGTACGACCAAAGTGATGCAAACTAAATCTTGGGAGTAATGTCCTGGTGGCAACACAACAGCAGCTGTGTGAATTTTTAAACTTCAATTTATTGTGTAAAAATTTAATTCTAACAAGCATTTTGAAGAAATGCTGAAATTCTTTCCCTTTTGTGACCGTATTGCTGGCCACTCAAAAGTAACCAGTATTTGAAAGGAATTTCATATTGTCACTTAACAGTATGGTCATCTTATCTCCGTGGGTAACAGATGCAGGAGGAGAAGCAAATGGAGAGGAGGAAGAAGATCGCGGTGGAGCTGTCCGAGCTCGTGGTGTACTGCAGACCGGTCCCCTTCAATGAGGACAGTAAGGATCAAACTGCTCTCTCTTCTTCTCTCGCCTCACTTTAACAGCTTCTGGGTGTCATTTTATATTTATTTCTGCCGCTTCCAGAGATCGGGACGGAGAGGGCTTGTTACCGGGACATGTCCTCCTTCCCAGAGACGAAGGCAGAGAAGTTTGCGACACGCAGCAGAGGGAAACGCTTCCTGCAGTACAACCGCCGTCAGCTTTCAAGAGTTTATCCCCGAGGACAGAGGCTGGACTCGTCCAACTACGACCCTCTGCCCATGTGGCTCTGTGGCTCCCAGCTGGTCGCGCTCAATTTCCAGACTCCAGGTCAGTGTGCAGATATAGATAAGACTATGTGTAGCATGTCCACAACTTTCTTTTCATGGAGAGTGTAGTGGCTTTTACAGAGAGCAGGGTTCCCACTTCCCAAAGTCAAATGTCCTGTTGTGGTTTCTTGGTTTTGTTGCGGCAGCGTGAACACACCCTAACATGTAGCACAGGTTGGATGACATTAATTGAAGTGACTCTCAATGTAAGTTGCATTATCCTCCAGAGGTAAATATATTAGTCCGTGCTGGCTAGTAACTGTGGTCATTTTTATTAGATTAACATTTTCTTCAACGGTCAAATAATGTTAAATTGTGAAAAATTTAAATGTTAAACAAACAAAAAAAAACAATGGCAAAACTGAAAAAAAATGAATAGCATAACATTAAAACAAGGCAATTTGTCATAATTTCTACACATGTAACAGATGATATCCTAAGTTACAGCCATAGACTTCCACAGAGAGGAACGTATTAGTGAATGACATGATCTGGTCTGTCATAGCAGCTAGATCATCACTGAAAATGTCCTGATAAAGTTCTGGAAAATGATTCCTAGAAAAGAGTGGGAACCCTGAAAGAGGAAAACAAGAGGTACTTTATTTTACTTATCTCAGACAAATGCATAAAACAAAGGAGGAAAAAGAAATAATTGAAAAATATTTTTAAAAAATTACAGTTTTGTAATTACATTCAGCAAGAAAATTTGATAATGTTTAATGTACCATGTTTCTAAGATTAGGACAGCTCATAAAAGCAAAGGAATGTGAGCTTAAATGTAAGCTTGCGTGGGCCTACAAGCCTACAATTAGGTGCATAACATTGGGTGATGTTCTGCAACCCAAAACACCAAGGTAGATTCAGATCTCAACCTCAGTGTCTTTTGGGAACCTAAACCTCACCAAATACACTTTACTAACTCTACTGAAACACTTCTGAGGGCAAAAGTGTGTCCATGTGTGAGCTTTCTGTTTCTTATTTAAACCTGTCCTTTAGTGCAGCACATGGTATACATTTCATTACATCACTTTAATGTAACTGTCTTACATTGATTAACTAATTTGAAAACTTACCTGGCAGTGAAGGTCTGTAGCTGGTTGTAGGCGATGTGAAGCACCCTGAGGTTGCCGTGTCCAGTTAGCAGAGGGACACACTTGTCGGACAGGCTGTTATTGGTCACATAGAGCTCCTCCAGGCGGCTGGAGCTGTCATCCGATAGGCTGGCTGCAGGGAGGTTCTCCAGCTTATTGGCCGACACATTTAGGTATCGCAAGCTGTGATGAAAAATCGACAGAGAATACAAACTTGAACAAATGATTTGACAAAAAATAAAACTGACCGACGGGAAGAGAAAGAAAATAAATATATATAGATGGAAACAAACGTGGAAAAACACTAAATGAAATGCGTATGGAAAGAACAAATAGGAAAAGAAAAAGAAAAGAAGTGCACACCTCTGTGCTTTGATGAACAGGTTGTGTGGGAGCTCAGTCAGATGATTGTGTTGGAGGTCCAGGACCTCTAGCTGTGATCTCTCCATCCTCTCAGCCAGCTGACACACTTCATTCCAGCCTGCCAGCAGTTTTCTCAGGCTCCCACTGGACATCAGCCTACAACACAAACAACACGGCGAACTCAGTCTCTGTGTGTGTATGTAAATCTGTCAGTTTCTTCCACAGAACCGTATTGTGTGTGTGCCCCTTTGTTGCAGTGACCCCATTTTCCACTGAGGTACAATAAGTTCACCTTATGTTGAATTAACTTTTCAACCATTACTCTTACTAGAAAGACAAGATATGAATAAGGAATTACATGCGTGTGTAATAAAGCCTGTAACTGGGACACAACTACCATTTTCTATGAAGGCAACAGTACATGTTTTTAGTTATTGCCATAGGCTGTGTACAAACTGAAAATAGCACTGCATCAGCGTGGGCGTGTTGCTACAGGTACCGCTGAAACCTTTTGCAATAATACGTCGAGTATGAGGTTCTATTACTATCCTGTGTATGTACAGTGTGTGCAACGTAGGCTACCGTAAACAGCAGTCTACACTAAAACAATGCGGGGTGATATCAATATACTGCAACCTATCAGTTCAACACGCATTACGCATCCTCTATGCCAATTCAGTAATAAACCTGCAGGGTTAAGATATGGCGAATACGGTACAAAATCAGACAAATTGTTTGTATTACAGGATAATTTCAGGCAGATTATTCAAATGATCTGAGAAGAAAAACGTTTTTGGTTCGACTGATCACAAAGACGAATGATGTGACGAGTACTCACAGGGAGACATCGTTTTGTCTCTTTTGTAAGTTTAAGTATAAGTAATTTCGTGGCGGTAAACCTTAACATTTTTAAATTCTACTAGGCAAAATTACTTACTTTTCCACTCACCGGCCAAGAGCACTGGTACATGAGAAAATACACTGGCTAAGCATATTTTTACTGGCCAAAAGAATAAAATTGCCCTCTTGTTAATTTTCACTTTATTTGCTGGCGTTCATTTTGCACCATAACTTAAATGCATCGAGTTTTGTTCTTAGTGATGAAAAACGTACATATTGAATAAATTTAACAGTGACTATGTGTGTTTAGATAAACCGATGCAGCTGAACCAAGCCTTGTTCATGCTTGGAGGTGGCAGCGGCTACGTTCCCCAGCCTGATATCATGAGGGACGACACCTTCGACCCTTTTGACAAGGACACCTTACATCTGGAGCCAATCACTATCCAGTTGCAGGTGAGGTCAGGTTGAGAATCACAGAGAGAAAAACAAAAACTCTGTAGTCTGGATTGAACTAGTAGTGAAATTTATGTTTTAACAGGTGGTGGGAGCTCGTCACCTGCCTAAAAATGGTCGCAGCATCGTCTGTCCCTTTGTGGAGGTGGAGATCTGTGGAGCTGATTACGACAGCTGCAAGTACAAGACAGATGTTGTAGGTAAGACAGCTGCTGTCTCATGGCCACAATAGTGTGAAACCTCAACCCCCTTGATTTACATTCATGACAAAATGTGCACTTGGAGGTCAGTGCTCACTGGCTGTGTATTAACTGTCTCTTCCCGCGGACCCTCCCAGCTGACAACGGTCTGAATCCCGTGTGGGTGCAGAAGCAGTTTGTGTTTGACATCCACAACCCCACCTTCTCCTTTCTGCGCTTCACTGTCTACGAGGAGGACATGTTCAGTGATCCTAACTTCCTGGCACAGGCGACCTACCCTGTTCGTCTGCTACGGACAGGTGAATGTGGAATAATATTAATATATAATATTATTTATACATTAAATTAGTATTTTACAAAGCCTTGAGAAGAGTCCAACACCAAAGCTATAGCTGAGAGTTTGAAATTAGTTGTTGTGTTTTCAGGCTACAGGAGCGTCCCTCTGAAAAACAGTTACAGTGAAGAGCTGGAGTTGGCATCACTTCTGGTCCACATAGAGATCGTCAATGCAAAGGTGTCATTCTTTTTCTTTCTCCAATTCACAGGTTCACATTAGGGCTGGACGATTAATTTAAAAGTAATCGAAACCAAAATTCAGAATCTCTAACCAATGTCATTTTAACCTCGTCTGTTATTTAAATTTTTTCAATCCCCGCTGTGTGTGTTCAGCACGTAGATTCTTTCTCCCACATAGACTGTATAAAACATAAAAACATACCTACTGCGTGTGTAGTCACCAATGCTGGATGGTTGTGCTTTCGCATGTACATCGAGGAGGAGACAAGCCTGGGCTGTGTTAGGTGAGGGATTCCCCTGAAGGTAAAAGTAAACAATTACCGCAGGCCAGCGGCGGCAGGGACCTGGCCGTTTTTAAAGGTAGAAATGCGGAAGCTGTAACGTTATATGGATCGGGTATGCCCAACACTTGCAGTTTGTGTTTATATTTTTCTTTTTCTTAAGCTGAAAGGTGATCAAAATAAAATTTGACTGCTTTTCTGGCGTCTGTACGGCGAGTCACGGTGTGCGCCGTTATGTTGGTCTGTTGTTTTGCTCTCCAGGTCGCCGCGCATGTCACGTGCCTGAAAACTATGAATACTCTGTTATCAAAATGTTAATGAGGTAATCAAGTGACGTATGGGGACAAATAAGTAAGTGTTCAATTAATTGTGATTTAGATCGTCCAGCCCTAAGTTGACATACATACAATTCCATGTATTATTTACAACAAATTATTATTTTATAATCTCCCATAAATGGTAAATAGCTGCACTTTTATCTTAAGTACTTAACATTTTTGCCTCATTCACATGCCAATGGCTACCATGCAAGGTACTACATCATTTTGGGTTCAGTGTCTTGCAAGGACAGGAGTTGTAAAACGAAACAATCTAAGTCTACTCAAAGTTAATAAATGATGAAACTGAATCATCATAAACTAGCCCTGCTCTTCTTGCTCAACCCCTCAAATGCTCTTCCATCAAAAAGCTGTCATTTACACTTGCCTTGCTGTTCTCTGATCCTCACTGTGGCTGCAGGAGGAAGATGACGAGAACATGTACATGTCCATCCAGCGGCTGCGGGATCGAACCAGCGAGCTGTCAATCCAGGTTTCCCTCCTTGAGAGGTCAGGCTCAGGAGATCTCAGCTACCAGCAGAGTCTGGAAGAACTCAGAGCGGCTCAGGACCAGCTGAGTGAGCTGGTGGAAGCTCGAAACCGCAGGTGACTGATCATATAGCGCACAGAGGGAAAAGAAAGGAGGAGGGATTAATTTATTTGTATGGACGACAGTTTAAACTTTAATTAAAGTATATTTAAATTGTACTTATTAGTGCTGAAAAGTAAGTCAACGGATTATTTAGATCAAATGTTTTCTGGTTCCAGAATTGTAAGGATTTGCTCTTATTGATTTGGGAAAAAAAACAAGCTGTGAACTTTTGTTTTGTGTGCTCTATTTTACAGAGGAAAATGATAAACAATATATTTAATGAAAATACATATTACATACATACATGTGCAGCCTATGCACTGCTTTGTGTAGATACAACTAGCAAATATTTTCTTAATTGTTTGATTTATATATTGTCAGTTTTACTGAAAACTATAAAATATTCACATTTTATAAGCTGGAATATATATAAGCAGTGAATTCTTATATTTTAACAATTATGAATAGTTATGATTAATTTCTATATATTATACACACCCACATATACACACACACACACACACACCTTTTATGTGGCAGAATGTTGTTTTTAGTAGTTTAGTTTTCTATGTAGTAGAAGTTATTTGTATTGTGTATTTTGTTTTTTTAAAGTATAATTTTACTTCAAATTGTGGTATCTAAGTGTATTGTATTTATCTTTTCCCTAAGATTGACCCATCTGGCCAGTTTAACTTTAAACCTGAATGCAACACTTGACTTGTTGTATGAAACCAAAAACACACAAATTCCTTTTTGTCTGCTATTCCAGGCTGATGGAGAAGAAGAGGAGGGAGAAGCTGAGGCAGCAAGCCGCGTCAAAGCGCAGCTAATCTTGCCGCCCACCAGAGAGTGCTAAACTGCAATGCTGAGCAGCGGCAGCCTGAGAAGGAAAACAGGCTCTCTACAGCCGCGGCATGCAATCCAACTAACCGGAAACAAAAACATGTTTCTTCACAATAAAAAGTGAAGTTTTATAACACCGTGCTGTTCTAACAGCAGGGGGAAAGTGACAGACAGAAGCATCTCATGGACTCACAAAACTAAGCTATAAAAACAATCATGGGCTTGAGGCTGAACGTACTAAGAGCAAAATAGAGATCAGGTTATGATTAGAACTGAAACAATAAGTTAATTAGTCGACCTGAGTATTTTAACAAGCAAAAATACCAAACATTTGCTGATTCCAGCTTTTCACTTAGGGTTAGGATTTTGTGCTTTTGTTATTATATTATGTGATAAAATTTGGGGGGTTTTGATTGTTGGTCAGAAAAAGAACTATTTGAAGATGCCACCTTGAGCTTTGGGAAAGCCTAACAAGCATGTTCCTGATATTTTATGGTCAAAACAAGTAGTCGATTATTTGAGAAAGTAAACAAGAGACTAAGATTATGAAAATGGCAGTTCTAATCATGATACGTAACCCTTAATACAGTGAATGCCAGCTAAAAAAGCAAATCTGCTGCTGGCCAACCTCCAAGCTAGACATTTATAGCACATTCTGTCCATTTTTACAGCCATCAAGTTTCTAAAATATTGGCTAAGTTCAGACTGCAGGCCATAGTGACCAGTGTGAACAGGCCAAGTCACAGGGAATCTGATCTTTTCCAGTTCGGATTTGAGAGAGAGAGACAAAGTGTTTTATAGGGCAGATGTGTTGTACAGCGCCAGAAACCATCACGAAATGAACAGAAAGTTGTGAACATTTAATTCGGGAGAAATGTCACCCGTGAGAGGACAATGAAAAATGTGAGTCTCCCGTAAGCTAACCTCTGTTGCTCCTTGTTTACTTCTATAGTGCATGTGGGTCACTTTCAAGCTACACACTGGAGTCTGATATAGGCTACATTTAAACAATAATGTGAACTGGCAAACAAACAAAAACAAACATCTGGGGAAAAAATAAATAAATCATAATTAAGCATTAAGGCCTGCAGTCTGAACGTAGACTTAGATGTTTAGGCCTGGCTGCTTATTGACACCTTTTGAAACTGGAACTTTTTTGTGTAGATGGTGATATATCGCGCCATAACACTGAACTGAAAATAACCGATGCCTTGGGAAATTAAGTTCTCTTACTGTGTTTTAGTCTTTAGTAAGAAAAGCGGGATATTAAAAAGGGAGAAAAATCTCAGGTTACACAGATGGATGGAAAAAGGGAGCAGTGGGCACACAGCAAAAAGGAAATGTCATGTTTGTGCCTTTGATGTTTGTTGAGTACAATAACTAATGTTTGCTTTCTCAATAACTGGAATAGTGGCCCTTTAGGGAAAACTACTAACAAACTGGAGGAAGAATATTCACTCCTTTGGCTCAGACCACTACTCATAAACTGAGTTTAAAAGGGATTTAAAGACTGACTTAAAGTCTGTTCCTCCTAATCAAGACTAAGTCTTTTTTATGGGGGGGTGATCACATGACTCTGCCCCCAGAGCACAAACTGGACAAACAACATCCTCACCGAGAAGATTTTTACTACTTCTTTAAAAGGGCTCAAAATACTGTAATCTATACTACCTTCAAAGAGAACAGCGATGGTGGGGTAGGAGGAGAGCGCCACCTGGATGTCACCGGCACAGGAACTCAGGTGTGCTCGACAAACAAGGGCTATTACAGAAAACTAGCAAAGCACTCTTTTACCTTCTGGCTCAGATTTCTCGCAGGTCACATCTGAACCACACGACAAGGATAAGTTCCCATCATAATCACCTGGTCCTGGATCTGCCAAAAGCAGTTTAAATTCAACCCCACTGCATGGCTTCATATCCATTAACCCCCACCCCTAACATCTCATTGTATATAACTTTTTATTTATCAAACAGTTGTCCTGTTTTAATACATTAAAAAAAAACATACTCGAAGAATGATAATGGACTTCAGATTGAAGATACTGTAACTTTATGTAGAAATTAATATTGTGAATCTGGCGCTCCCTTTAAATGTCCCCATAGACACCTCTTTCTCTCTACGCTATAATTGCACTGGGTAGGGACTTCTATGCAAAGACCGTCTTCTTGGCCTATAGCCATTGTATTAGGCAATTTGACTCAAGTTGTGTTTTCTCTCTGTATCTATGCTAATGGTCCGTATTACTCTGCATTACAAATCCTGTGCAAGTTTCCATTTAATAAAGCTCTTTCATGTACTCCCTGTCTGCACTGTCTTCTTAAAATATATGTAACGCAAAACCAGCAGCAAGCAATTACCTCAGCAAGTAGGAAATTAAACTGTGAGGAGAGTCATTACAGGCCACTTCAACAGACAAATGAACAGCATTCAAACTCAGGATATGTCAGACTGTGCTCCAAAGATTTTGACCAACTTTATGGAAGCGATATACTACAAAAAAAAAAAAGTGCAGCACATAATAGTGACTTATATATACACTGATGTTCGACAGGTATAATGTTTACCATGTTAACCATCTTAGCAAATTCGCACTTAAAGTACAGCAGAGGCTGCAATATTTGTCACTCAAGACCAGGGCCGGTATTTATCAAGCTACTCAAAGTACCATTTTAGTCATGAGTGCTGAGAATTCATGAAAGTAAGTTATTAAATGTCTTAAAGTTAAGAATCACTCTTCCTCTCCCAGTTATTTAAGACAACTCGGGAGGACTCTCAAGTGGTTAGAAGTTGCCAGTAGGGGGTTGTGATGACACTGTGGAGACAGAGACATGCGCAAGTATTTCAGGAGAGGGAAAACGTTTCTGAATTATCTGACAAAATAATCAATAAGCCTAATTGTCATGGAAACAATTGTGACACTTTAAGCTCCATACATTGTCACACGTTTCATCGACAACACCCCCCGTAATCCAAAAGAAGCAAACACAATTCATGCAAATAGCAGACTTCCCACGAGTAGCCTCGTAAGTGCAACTGATGACACTCATATAAAGAAACTTTTTTTTATCTTTCATTTCCAATGTGTACAAAATGTATTCTCTTAAAAATTCTTAATTATCAAATGTCTGTTGAATGTATGCACCATTCATACATCCAGTTATGCAGAGTTTGCTGATAAACTCATGAACGCGCATTGCCATGGTAACCAGTCCTATTTTGCTGAAATATAGCAGAATCCACAGCGTCTGCTGTCCGAGAGCACGTTAGCGTCAATAAGAGGGCATGTTTTAGCAGTACTGTAGAAGGTGTGACAACAAGCCTGACAATATATAAATATGTATTTAAGCAAAATACTTTTCTAAGCCTAAATCTAAGACACGGAGTCTTGTTTATTTATCGGTAGGATTATCGAGAGGCACTTCAACAGTTACAATTAGTGAACAAACATCAAACAAATGACATGTAAGAACACAAACAGCATCCAAAATACAACAGAGTAAAAAAGTAGAGTTATTTGAAATAGTTTTTACAAAAATACAGTGACTGATAACACTTGGAAAGCACAGGAGCAACTGTTTATCTCTTATCTAACCATATTTTAAGACCTTTCAGGAAGTTAAGCAAGGACTGAATTGAGGCTTTATCGTTGTATGTTACAGGCAAATAGATTTGTATATTATCTGAAAAGCATTTAAAGGAGATATTGTGTTTCTTGAAAATGGACCCAAATGGCACCACAAGAAAGAGTGGCAGCAGAGCGAGAGGCTGCGCCGTCGCAGTGGAATAAAGTGAGGGTTAAGTTAGCTCCAAACTACTGAAACATTAGCTGATGACAGCTATGCTTGTTACTGTAAGTACATGCAATAAAACCTTTGCAAATAAAAAAGACAATACTTTATCAATACACCTGCCTGTAGGTAACATTAAACATGTAGAAATGGTTAATTTAATCATCTCTCTCCTCAGTCAGTCATCCTGTATGTTTTATACAAGCACAGCTAACACTAGCTTGGCATTAGCTAAATGTTAATAACAAGCTAAATAGAAAGCTGTCTGTCTGGAGCACAGACTGGTCTGTAGTCTAAAAACTCAGCTGCTGACTGAGATAAACCAGCCGCTCCTCCTCCTGCCTGGTAACGTTACCTGCAGCCAGCGAGAGAGGAGGAGGAGGAGGGACTGATACAGATTATTGTTGTTCTTTCTAAACATCACTCACTAAATGTGATGTCAGATAAAGTTATTGAGTTACTTTGCTGTTGTAAACATTAATGTTGCTGCTCTAGAAACAACATTTAGCTGTATTTAAAATATTAAATTAAAAAGTTAATATGTACACTTCAATGTATGTTTATTTATCGCAAGTGATGTGTCGTCTCAATATATAAGGTTATCGCACTTTGAATATTTTCCTCACACCGTCCGTGCAGGCCTACCTCATGCCCGTTGGATCTGGTCTTACCAAATCTATAAATAAATAATTATCGATAAAGAATCGGATCGTTAAGCAGTCTCAATAAGGGTATCATTATCAATAGAAATGAACGATCCCCATCCCTAGCCGACACACTGTCGGGAAGAATGGAGTGGTTAATCATGTCAAACGCAGCAGTCAAATCTAAAAACACTAAAACAGCAGAGTTTCCAGAGTCAACAGCTAAAAGATCATTGAAAACTAATTTTAACTTAACTAAAAGGGCAGTTTCAGTACTGTGACAGGGCTTAAACAGGGCTCACTCTAATGTTGTGAATGGTAAATGTGGTGCTAAACTACTTTACATACTGCTGAATAGCTTAATCTTTATTATAAAACTTGTAGCTTTAATAATACATAATTCATTTGTTCATTTTATTTAGTATTAATAATCTGAATCAAAAAACAAAGACACTAGTATCTAAAATAAATGTGACATGAAAAGTATGTTGAAGTTGTACTTTAGTGCAGTAGTTAATCCACACACACACACGCTCTCTCTCTCTCTCTATGGGGCAATCAAGATACAGTTTAATTATAAACCCAGTATAAAAATAATCAGTTACACGAGTTACGGACCAAGGTCCTTTGTGTGTCTGTAGTTAACAGTTAACACCCGAAAAAACTAAAGTATTTTGAGCAGGCAGAGAACACTTTAATACTGGATGATGAATTTTAAGCACCTAAAGAACAAACTGAGCTAATTTGTGTTTAAAAAAAAAAAGATTAAAACAAAAATGTGACCAAGGGACACAATATCACGTAGCAACTGTGCACTCTCTCGCTTATGTTTAACTGTTACCAATAGTAAACTGCATTTGACTGCTTTAAAGGGCAATGACCAGTGTTCCCATGTTGAACTTCCAAGAAAGTAAAGGTAATACGTTTCTGTTAAAGAAACGTATTACTTTTACCCCCCCACACGCCGATCAAAGTGGTGGCGGGTCTATTATAGCATATGGATGGTATATATTATAATATGGATGGTAAAGCAGGACCCATGAAAACTTATTTGAACAAAAAAATTAATTGTTACATTTTTTTTTTTTACCAAACCAAAAGTGTGCAACATCCAACTTTTTATGTCATGAGTGACTCATAACTTATTTGGTGGATGTGCAACAGTGGGAATCAAAAGCCCGTCTTGTCCACTGCCACATCGCCATGACCATGACATTTAACAGCTACGCAACATGCAACTATTCATGTCAAAAGAAGGCCTCAATTTTTGTACGACTGTTTAGCCTTTGCAGCAAGCTTTTTTAGAGCCTCTACACGTCTCTCTTGGAATTTGTGTCACTCACAGCTGCCACGATGGCATCTTTTGCCATTTTCTTGCCAGCCGTTGGCTTCTCAGAGTGATAAGGCCTTTTGTTCGGTTCTTCTTTATCTCTGAGCAGAGCTCTGTACCTTTGGCTCGATAGTTTTACATTTCTGCACAGCCGTAAAATAACAGGACTCTCCTTTGTCTTTTTGGTAATAGTGCTGAATGGCCGGCACCTGCATGGCTTTCAGGTTATATCTAACGACTCACATGTCTCTACACTTAGGTTGGTAGCTTTGGCTTGCAGTACGTTGGACATTACACTGAATGCTGATTCCATCTGCGCTGGGTACCTCTGAGTCTTTCTCACAACATTCCACCATAAATCAACTCTTGCCTCCTCATGTCACTTGCATATCTAGGATGGGAAAAAACAGGTTAAGCTCATTATTTGACAATAAAATAATTCCTTACAAACAACAGGCTACATGATACAATTACTAGCCAAAATAATCAAACATTTGACTTACTAAGAATCTGTAAATAGCATTCCAACAATTATATACACCTGTGTATTTCATGTTGAAATTCAGCTCTCTCCAGTTCATTAAGCTTCACAGCTAGAAACATGTTCGCCAACTTCTGGAGATGAGGAAGAATGTGATGGCTTCCCCGTGCATCTGGGTCCAAGCATGACAGAGACCTTAGGGTTGGACTGTCAAGAGGTAGCTTTGCTTGAAGGTCAGCTGCACAGCTGGTGTAGGCTTGGATTAACTTTTATAAATAGAGAAACAAGTATAGACGTACTGTATATGTGGAGCGTGCGCCAAGATTAGTTGCTTGGGAAGCGTTTTTCTTTTAAAAATGAATTAAATGTGTATTGTTATGGTGTGATGTCATTATGTTGTGTTTAATATTGAGGACCATGTTGGAAATAAGTGTTTAATTCGCTTTCACAGGCTATTCTCTGGGTGGACAACATCTTGTGATGACATGTTTCAATGTTTCCCCAAATAAAGCCATATCATACCTTAGTTTTCGAAGCCTTCACCACAGGGTGTTCCCTCCCTAGTTGGTCAAGGATGGATGAGGCCTCAGAGCCAACAAAAGGTGCTGCAAGATGGGCCTCTGTCGATGTCAGGTCAAGCAACTTCATCTTCGGCCCAGACAGATTCCTTCCTTTGCTGTTAATCAATTCTTCTGGCTTGATGAAGCAAGATAAAAACTTGTTCATGAACCTTTGGGTCCTTGGACTGAAAAAGCAGGATGTACTGTTTCAGCATGGGAAGGACTGCTGAATAGAAGTGGAGCTCAAGGAGGGTTTTCTTGTCCTCAAATAGCACCTGCCAAAACACAGAGAAACATTTTTTCTCTCTGCACCAATCACAGCAATGTACATCTAACAAGCACCTTGAATAAATAAATAAATATTTACTTTTAAATGTGGTGATGGATGGTGGGTAAGACATTCCTTTGGTGTGAGAGACCCGGGTTCGAATCCACTGTGAGACACCATTGTGTCCCTGAGCAAGACACTTAAACCCTAGTTCCTCCAAAAAAG